CCCCCCAGACNCCCCCCCCGATAAGTTACAAAAGCACCGCCGTCCCAAATGCCTTTATCAGGAAAAATTTCAGACTTATCTTGCTGTTTTTGTGTTTGTTCGGCGTTCAAGTCGTTGCCTTTTGCGTGTTTGTCTATGGAAGGACCGGTCATACATTCTGCTATGCCGCGTTGACTCACGGGGTTGACCTTCTTACGGCCCCTCATACTTATTTTATGATCGATAATACTAAGTTCTGCACACTACGGAGCAATCTGGCAGCAATGGACGTTTTTGGCTGAAGGAATGAAAATGTACGGATCGGCCTCACTTTGTTCCTTATTTCCAAAGGCCAAAAAGGCCTCTTTATTCCTTAAAAGTAATATATTACTTAAAAAAAACACTGGTGATAATAAACACTTATATCGCTTGATTCATTTTCGACAGGAATGGCTGAACTTGCTGCTTTATGCTTGCTTGTTAGTTTTATTATACATGTCGGCGTGACCAGTCCTTATAATGCAAGTCAAGGTGTAGTGCACACACACATTCCCGAATACAGTGATATGACCAGTTCATATACAGCGCTGCTGCTGCCTGCTGCAAGCAGGCATACATGCCCAGCCCGCTCCAAATCCCACCGCTCTTGCTTCCTTTGGCGTTTGACGCTCGCTCTGGCATTCAAAATTACGGTTTCACAACGCATCCAGGCACTTCGAAGCTATGCAGGAAGCCATCAGCGCCACGGGAACTGCTGCCGCCACCGGGGCCACCTCCACCTCCGTTTCCGCCATCACCACCACCGAAGCCACCTCCACCTCCCCCGGAAAGTATTCCTTCAAGCTGTAAGGTATGTTCGTACACATGAGAGCTTTACAAGAATTGCAATCCTATTATCTAGCTGTTTACTGGTATTGGATTTGGCCTGTGCTGGAGACATGACACTCCACCTTATCCGTCATCATGCTGAATCTACACCCACGATTCAATCTACTGCAGATATCGAGTCTTAATTGCACCTGCCGCAGCAGCTGGACGATTGCCGCTGGCTACAATGCAGTTTACGGCCACTACTGCTCACCAGTTTTAACTATGGAACCAACGCTTGGGTGCGTGGGCCTGCGTGTGTTACTTGGCCGCTGTTGATCCGGCAGAATCCGTCGGATGCCGGTGGTGGGTGTTGAACCTTAGCGATCCAGCGAGTAGTCGGCTAGGGTGCTTGCATGAGGGTGCCCCGAAATACCGGTTAAGACAGGTTTTCGCCGGGTAGCGGCCACAGGTGAAGATATGCCCCCCTGTCCCACACATCACACCATCATGATGGTAGGCCAAGAAGTTAAATAAGCCGAGGATGGCCAGATAGAACCATAATCTTCCGTGTACACCACACATTCACCCAGAGCCCATCCCCAAAAGTCATACGGCTTGCTTTTTATTGGGCGGGGCCCCAGCGTGAAGCGCCCAGGGGGGCCCCGACCTGTAGGATTGCCCATGTCCGTGTGTGTGTGTGTGTGTGTCCGTGTGTGTGTAACGGACCAAACATAATATCTCGCCCGGCTGAGACGCGTTATAGGTACTCTATAGCATTCTCTATTGCAATGTATCTCGCCTGTAGCCAACAAAGATCGTATGAGCACAAACAAGTTTGGCTGCCTCAATTGACCGAGGTCAAAGTCACATCAACGCCTCTCGGGCTAAATTTCATCTCAAAAAGGTGCCGTGTATCTCATCATTGATTTCCGAGATGACAGCGTATGATAACTTGAACACCCAGCTTGTGTTACCATTTGCCCGCACGGGCATTCCGACTTGCCACCAGCAGGCCGACAAATTTGCTTACATTTCTCTATGAAGTACGAAAGCTGCTCATTTGTACATTTACTTTAGCCAATGCTCGGGGCCTCCTGAGACTTGCGGTGTGCCCCGATGAAGCCCGCGGCTGTGGGGCAGATGGCTGTGGGGCGGATTGCTGAGGCCGCTGGCGCTTCAGGGATAAACATCACAGACAGCACCGAAATTCACCCAGCTTTCGTTACCATTTGCCCGCACGGGCATTCCGACTTGCGGTCTGCCGCACTGTCCATGCGGCATGCAGCCGGGATGGATGCGATTCGCGTGGAGCCCGCAGGCGGTGCTGACGATTCCGCCGGTGCAAGCTTAGCTCTCACACCATCAGCACTGCTGCAACAAAGCACATCTCCCACCGCGTTGACACTACCCATCAATTGTCACACGTGCCGCGCTAGCTACCGGCCTGTACGGATGCAGGGGGGCCCCGCCCTTTTTCCGGCTTCGAGGAAGCCGACACCCGACTTGTTACACCTTGATTTTGTGCCGCAGTTGCGTCGTGACACCGTCCTGCCCAACCTTCTTGGAGAGCCCTTTCCAGCTTTGCGACAGAACACTGAATGCCACCTACTGTGCCGGTAAGTATGCACCATACATACGTGCATGTCTTGATCGCTGTAGCCTGCTGGTTGGCCAATTGGACGGTTTATCATGCATGTTTATGCATTTTCATGAATGCAGTGACGGGATAGGGATGAATGCAGCCGCACCTACTTGTAGGGCTCCGCAGTGCCTACCACCATCCACAGCATTGGATGAGGCCTACAAGTTGGGGAGTGTATAAGGACTATCCATTTTCAGGCCTATCCATGGTAGCATAGCGTAATCTATGGACCACAGCTATGGTCTATAGGTTGTTGTCTTTGTCTAAACCGTAATGAACCTGTTATCTTGAAGGCAATATCAATTATAACATGGCTCAGTCATATAAACAAACCATGAAAATGTACAGAAGGCTGCTGGGGCTTAATTAACGCAAGGATGTGAATTGACAACTTGGCAACACTCTATGTGCTGTATATGTCCACGTTCCAATGCAGGTACACGGGCAACGAGGCCACCACCACCACCCCGTCTGAGATCCCCTAAGACCCCACGGCTAGCAACGACACGGAATAACTAGATATCCTGGACAGCCGGTCATGCAACGGATGCAGCGGATGGAGCCGACGGACACACATACAGCTCAACTACCTGGTACTAGCTAGCTAGCAGCGGGATAGCTATCCTTATAGTGCATGCATGCCCTTAACAATCCAAGCTATAATAACGTACAGCTTAATGTAACACTTAAAACACGATATATCATCATATGTCGAGTGTTTAGCGGGTATCGAGTTGAGTTTTGAATATAAAGTTTAGCTATACACATACACACAGTATATGTCTTATATGGTATATTGCTAGTATATACCCTTACCCAGCCAGTAGTAGATGCTCTATTGTGGCGCACATTTATGCATGTTGTTACAGGGTGGTTAACTTCGCCAGTGGCCCCCTTTCCGGGGGCAGTCCCTGTGAGAGGGGCACCCTAATCCATTCACCCCATCCGATTTCAGAATGTATTCGTTGGGTTCAGCAACTCACCACCAGCATGCAACCAAATCGAGCGGATCAATGGCGCCTCTTCTTAATTCCTGGTCAGCAAGTTGATTTCATCACGTCCTACACCGTCCACAAGATGGGGGGGCATCTCCCATTTCAGCACCTCTCAATCACTTGAGAGGTCAGCAAGTGGATTTGAACCCTGGTCGCCCGGGGACAGAAGCCAGGCCTTAACCTCTGCCAGCCACCCGCGCATGTAAGTTGGCCCTGACAAGCAGCTGCAAGTAGATAGATCGCTCCGAGCTCGCTGTAAATGAGTCGATTTATAGAGCGGGACAAATCTCTTAGGATTCGTTTAGGCCGCGTGTATGGTCGGTGGCCATGCTTTATCAATAGCTTCAGGAGCAAGCTGCGTGTAATGCTCCGTTTTCAGAACTTTTTCAAGGTATACTATCGTTCCTCGTTTTAGTCGGATATCCGTTATGGAGTGCTATAAGAGTACTGGATTGTTAATAAACGTGCAGTAATTCATTCAGGCATGGGGAGGCGAGTAATAGTGCATCTGCTGGTCGGTTGGTTTGCCCATCGTTTGCTGCCGTAAGACCAACTATCCGAGTTTTAGCCAGCTGGTATTTAGACCATGCTGTCGATCTTTTAACCGATATCTAAAGACCATGGACTCACGGTCTATAGATGAATCGGATGTAGGTACAATAGCAACCTATAGAGTCCGTTGTTATGCCGATATGTATGTGTAGACAATCATACTATCTTATGGTATATGAGAGCTGCTCTAAACGGGTCGATGCGAGGCGGACGTGTGTTATTAACACCCTAGCCGACGTATGGGTTTTCCCACAGGAGCCACCAGGGTTTAAGCATGCCGGTATCTGAAATGGATGGGAGCATCTCCATCTCCTAGTAAGGGAGCACGGCTGGTGTGGCTCGCACACATCGGGGCTGTGTTGTCCGGGTCATTATTGGACCAGCAGGTGCTCATGCGTTACCATACTATCACCCGGGCCACCATATGGAGATCAGCGAATATGAGGACTGACGTTGACTAGCATTAGGTGGAATCGAGATAACGGAAGTAGCTGCTCAGTAAGCGGGGCGGCAGCAGTGATGTAAGAGGCCATAATCCAATTTTAGGTGTAAGGACGCAAAAGCATGAGCACCCCTGGTTATGCTGTGCTGTGTGACATTGGTATCTAGATGGGACATCGCGACTTCTGTATCAATCTTCGGGCCGGCGGTTCGATTCTGGCAACTAGCATTAATGCCAATTGACGATTCCATGGTGTAATGGATAAACCAGCGCGCAATGCGTGAGGTGGGATGGCTCCAATGCTCGAAATAATGGCCGAGAACGTCCATTGCTAAGCGGGGGGCAATTCAACGACGCAAAAGCCAATCTGAGCATCTCGGGTTACGACTTTGCTGGTTACAAGAAGGAAGCAGACCTGTGGACTTGTCCATAGCCAAGGCAGTACTCCCTACTGCCCTACTATGGTAGATAAGTCTCACTATCTTCACCCTACCTGGCACGACCCGATATATGTGTCTAGGGAGGGTCGCGGCTTGATAGACTCTATCAAGGTGGATGTTAAGACTCTGTCACGCCAAAACATCTGGAGCACACAAATTACGTGCCACGACCGAGTTAGTCGCTATCCGCAGGTGGCTAAGCCAACCGAAGGTAGTTAGGCGAACCGCGTATTGATGTAGTTGAGACTTTGGGTGTTGCCTGACTAGCGTATAAGGCGCTTTCCGTTGTGATTTGAGGATGTTAGGTTGTCGTTCATCTGTCGTGATCCATCCGCATTTCTTATGTCTGTCAGCACGTCATATGGCGTGACAACTCGGAGTCCACCAACGTCATTCCCTTCATCGTTTGCTCTATCGACGGATCACCGTCTGGCTATTGTAACATTATTACCACGACTTGTGAGAGCGTGTGGTCCAGGCCTTCCACGGTTCTGCCAGAGTGATTGATAGGTGCAAATGTTCTTTTACTGCAGCAATTGCCATACCTTATGGCCAGGACAGGCCAGTTGTATCTCCTGGCTTTCCTGGTGTTCCTAAAGCTTACGATTCTTTAGATCTAATTTTTTGTTTGAAGCAATGGATGCCATGGGGCCAGAACCAGGTTTAATTGTTTGGGCACGGTACCTTTTATCCGTTACAGCATTGAGGGCGTTCGTTAATGGCTCACTTTCCCACCAAGTTGCTCTCACAGCGGGTGTGCGGCACCTTTGCTATACTTGTTTGTCGTGCAGGCGCTCCTGTTCTGGTTACAGCACAATTTAGTGGGGATTCGCCTACCCCAAGCAAAAACAGAAGTGCTTACAGCGTTGCAATTTGCCGCGGCAAATTGCAACTTATCATCGGCCGATGATAAGTAAGTTGTTTTAGAGGGAATGGAAACAGCTTTTCTTGCTTGTATGCGGGTGTACACACAGGCCTCTGGACAGCAGCTTAATCTAGTAAAATTTCATTAGTAACCATTACTGCGAAAAGGCATTTCCTGGAGGAGTTCCTGGTAATAGAAGGATGCGCCATTTTGTGGGCCATTCGTACATACGACAGGAATCCTGGTGCTGGCGCCCATGGCTTGATGACAAAGGTATGTGCCAGGTTTGTGTGGTAGCGCACAGACCAGCATGGGGTCGCTCTGGTCAGGAGGGCTGTTTTCCTTTGTTTAAACCCTAAAACCCTTGATATTGTACTTGCAGTTGAAGTCGACTATGATAGCATCCGCAACAGCTTCTGGACGCTCAAAAGAGGTGTCTGTGATGTGCCTATTGTTGCCACCGTAGCTGAGATTGCGCATTTCTGGAGCGTCAAGGTTGATGGTCACATGTTCCAAGCCTGAGCACTTCCACATGAGCTCGTATCCTTGCATTACCCAGTACTTGTATACTAGTCTCTTGTGCAGTGCATGGGCCAGCAGGCCAGCGGGCCAGCTGGCTCTACTCTTCGTGAGTCTGGAGCCCACTGTAACAACCACACACACAGTATCCAGACAGTTCGTTTATGGAAACAGCCTTGGCATGCAGGACATGCTTGCAGCACTCCCAAGCTGACATTTTTGGGCAACTCCAGCGTGAAGCGCCCAGGGGGGCCTCACCCTGTAGGATTGTCCATGTCCATGTGGCCGGGTGTGTGGCCGTGTTGTGTAACGGACCAAACATAATATTTTCGCCCGGCTGAAACGCGTTATTGGTAAAATATATTGCATTCTCTAATGCAAGGTATCTCGCCTGTAGCCAACAAAAATCGTATGAGCACAAACAAGTTTGGCTGCCTCCATTGACCGAGGTCAAAAACAGAGGTCGGCAAATCGGGTGGGTCCTGCGGGTCCGTACCACAGTACCCGCAGCCGAAATCCGGGTTAAGACCCCGGCTGCGGGACCTAAATGACTGAAATTCGACCAAAAGACGTGATTTGCAGCCTCTATTGCGGCCCATAGGGCCGCGCGCTGGACTCGAACTCTCTGTTTGACTTTGGGTGCATTTCCAGTGCGGATTAAGGCCAGAGTAGGGCATGGAAGTCCTTGGTACGAGCTTACCACATAGTTTCGTTCCATAAGGGAACCAAAGGTTGGAAAAGCGAGATAAGTTTGCCAACAACTTAGCCGTTTGAGCAAGTATCGATGGAGGACAGAGGGTTAATCCCTGGCCTTAATCCGCACTGGAAATGCACCCTTTGTAAAAGACTGCCACGACCACCTCTACACGATTCGGTGACGGTTATCATTGATGAATTATTACATTTCTAGCGTCTGTACCGACGACTTGCAGCTGCCGCAGCACTTGACTTGGTCAATTGTTGTAGTATCCTTAAGACGACACAACCATAGATGGTGGTATCGAAAGATACCGGTTGAGACAAGTGGAACGAATAATTAGTCGTTGTAGCAACCACTTGGGCCTCGCGCCGATAAGTTCCCAGTACGACTGGGCGGTGCGATGTTCGGTTGACCATAGTTCACAGGAACTACTCTCGCCCGGTGAAGCAGACGAACCAGGAACGCAGGTTCCAGCTTTACGCAGGTAAAGCCGCCGCCCATACGCAGGTATGGACTTCCGCAGCAGTGCGGCATTAGGATGGCGAACTCGACTGGCAGCAGTCGTAAGCCGCCAATAAACTAATATTAGCATTAGTTAAACCTGTTATCAACGGCAGCGGATACAAACAGGTATTAGTTAATAATAGCAGTGTTAGAACTGAACGGACCGGCATCTGACCGTTAGGCAACCGAGCCTAGAGCTTAACAGTAAGCATACAGGATACAACAATTGTGGACTTTGGCATATTGGTCCCATGTGGGCTATCCTTTACAGAATCTTCAGCATATTGCTTGTATTTTCAGCATGATTTCTAACTGCTGGCCGCGGCATGTCGGCGGCATCTCGCCGGGGAACGAAGGAAACGCGTGCAGAAATCTCCAGCGGTCGACAACGCACGTTGGCCGGCGAACCCTTTTTCGGCCTGCGGAACGTGCAGCCCTGAAATGCTGTTTATTGACCGATTTTTTTAGGTTTATTAGGTTTTTTTAGGTTTATTAGGTTTTCTAGGTTTATTGACCGAAGTTATGCCCTCCCGCAGCCGTAGAAACCGATTTGCCGACCTCTGGTTGGAATCGCGCCGGAAAGGTGGCTAATGAGGCAGTTGCATATTTGTTGGTGTTAACTGTTGTTGGTTGTTGGCGATTGATTAAGGTAGGAATTGCGGTTGCAAAGTGCTGACAGGTCCTGGCTGCGTAAGCCATGCAGTTTGAGATTGCACGGCATTAGGACGATAATAGGTCATGTTGTTGCGTCTCATCGAAGTGTATAGCAGCTGTGCCGGTGATAGGTTGTGTCACAAATGTACCTGTTTTGACGAAGCCATCAATAAAGGGGATTTATTGCAGGTATTAAAGCAGCTATGGTGCAAGGACCAGCGACCAATACAGCGTTCGTACATATCTAAAGTGCGAAGGCCACGGCTGATATAAGTATGTAAAAGGACATGTGCAATGGTTATTACTATAAGAGAATGATCTGTTTTAGTTTGCGATTCGCAAGCAGGTACTGAACAATGCGCTTGTAGTCTACGAAAGCTATGTATGACACTCCGAACTCCGCAGACATTCAAAAGCTCACCAGGTCTTCTAATGAATAATAGGAGCAAACCAATAACGATGACAGCAGCGATCAGCACTGCAAATGATGTTGGGCTTTTTCGTTGTTCTCGGTCGGGCAACGGGTTATACCGTTGCGTGTTTGCTGCAATAGCTCCTTGAACTGTATGTTAAAATTTGCATGAGAAAATTTTAAATAGACATGAATAATTAGTGAAATGTGCTGCGTGAAATTTGACAGTACGCGGTTGCACATCGCAAGCTTAATGATAGATAGAAAGCTTATCGAACAGCAAGGTAATGACCTTGCTATGAATGACGGATAGGTACTTTGTTCATTTGCGAAGTTGGTAGAAGGAGTAGTAATAAGCTCGGCGACTTCGTACACCAAGGTCGACGCGCGCGGAATTGACCAGGGAGAACCTCCGATGAGTGCCTTATATGACAGAAATCACGGAATTGCGGCTCGAAAATGACTAGCGAAACTCTCCCTAGAAGTGCTTGTACGACACGGAAGAAAATGACTTGCAAAGGTTATAAAGGCGGGGGCAAAATATTTGATTTGGAATACTTAACCAGCTGCTTACAGTTGGGATCAGCCCACTGCTGGTGCTGAGCAGAATGGGGATTCTGAAGTCCGGCGCCGTCGTTCGAAAACGTCAGCTTGCACACGGAATTCTGTTTTTGCTAGCAGCGATTCTGCCTGCTGTCGGTTACATGGAGCAGCACGCCACCCGCCGGCTTCGGAATGTTGTAGGCGACAACAACGGCGGGGCCTCAAAAGGTAATGAATAAATCATCTACAGCTGATATCAGCGTTTTGAGGGAACGGTAATGGCTTATGGTTATAATCGGATGTGCGCGTCGCATACTGCATCTGACTTGCTTACAGTCCCCTTACGTAAGTAGCGCGTGTGCGTCTCGCGGACATCGTTTCACTGGACCTTCAGTACTTGTCACGCCAATACGAGAGAAAAGCGAGACGATTATCCTATCGAAAAAAGAAAGGGTGCTGCCGCTGGGTTGAAGAGCACAAGCAAGTTTGTTCCCAGTCCCTGTTGCTCGAATAATAACGCGCTGCTGATGTCAAATATGACGGACACGCACTCAGCCAACCTTCATTTTAAGTATATCGCTGCGGATTTAGCAATACAATACAATACCTTCGAAGCTCCAAATGCTAATAGCAGTGTCTGTAATCGCGCAAAGGCATCAAGGAACTTGCATGGCCGTTACTTGACAGTTACTCTCAAAAACAATTCAGCAGGAGCGGGACTACCCTGTCGAGCTCCCGCAAATGTTTTGCTCCCGCCTATCCTACCTATCGCCTGAAGCTCGCATACTTATTTCCACCCGCGCTAGTCTCTTACCTTATCCCCCATTCTCCCATTGCCTTGAACTTCTTCCGTTTAACACGCCACCACAGAGGCTCGGACAGCAGCAATGGAACCCTTCCTGGCAATCCGAAACACTGAGACCGCTAGCAGCAAGGAAGTACATCGACTGTACGATCAGGCTACAATTGTATCGTACATTGCCTACCCCCTGTTCTGTGCAGCAAAGCCCCTGGCAGAATCTCCTGGTGGGTTCACTATTGTTGATCATGATGTTCATCCTGTGGACGGTTAGCATCAATCATGCTATTGTTCCACGTACCTCCTGGATAAGGCACAGGTGTATCGTATATCGTAGTGGAGGTGTATCGTAGTGACTGCTTAACGAAAAACGTTGTGTGCGTTGCGCCTGCTGGGGATTTACTGAAGCGGGCAGCCACCAGAGCTAAGCCAGATCATTCAGGTTTGGCAGATAGATACATACATACACAGTGCCCCCGGGAGATCCCGGGATCGAGACCTGTAAGGGTCGAAAATCCTTCCGATGGTGGAAGGTGATTTGCCCCTAGCCGATGGACGGTGGTGACCTGGGATAAAGTAGACCTGCAAGCTGACAAGGAACGGAGTTGGGCCGCCGTTGATCCGGCAGAATCCGTCGGATGCCGGTGGTGGGTGCTGAACCTGAGCGATCCACTGAGGGGTCGGCTAGGGTGACTGGATGAAGGTGTCCCAAAATACCGGGGAAGGCAGGTTTTCGCAGGGTAGCGGCCACGGGTGAAGATGTGCCCCCCTGTCCCACACATCATAAATAAGTTGCAACCGCCGCCTCAGCGTTCTCAGCATCGCCAGGTTGCTTCGCTCTGCAGTAGCTGACTGCTGAAAGTGCCTTTCGATATGCTGCGCTTTAGTGCATCCATGTATTCGCAACGTGTGTCATGCATGGCAGCAGTGCGTGCTTAGCAAGTCGCGATACATAATACTGGCCAAGTCTCTGTGCAGTGTCAGCCCTTTCAGCTGTTTCGAAAGAGTCACCATAAACACAATAAGATTACGTAACTGCAATGTCAGGCGCCTCGATGTCATCCCTGCTGGCTCACCATGTGTAATAGCGATACGGCACACATATCGCCGATAAACACACGCTAAGGCGCTCCACCAGAATCTATCGTGAGATACCACTGCATGGGGCCTCCTCGAGGAAGCCCACTACGGCCTCAGTAAAGCTGCAGGAAACACCACGGCCAAATATTCCTTTATTAACACTTGGCTGTGATGCAAATAGTGAATGGAGGAAGCAGTCCATCCACAGGCAATTCCAGACAGGATGTTCACTTTTCATTGATCTCATCATTAAAATTCCTTCTTCCGGAGCCTCCTTAGAATTGTACGCTGCCTTCAAGCAAATTTATTTAGTGATATGAGAGACATGGATGAGGCAGCTGAGAAGGGGTGATAAGAAGATGGAAATGCAGGTATCACTGGTGCTTCCTGAGATATGGAGGTGTTCTCACAAGAAATTTGATTTTTGCTATTTGTTATCATTTCGCGCTAGAAATAAGCTTTGCTCTGGATCTTTGTAAAATAAATCCCGTGCAGGCTCATCCAGCGCACTTCTGATGTACCTGAGCCCCGATGTCTTGCGGGCCTACGCCTCAAAGGCCGGGGTCTGGAACTCGAAGCTGGTGGAGCAGCTGTTCTACTTGTCAAGGAGCCTTTACGGCGTGTTGGAATTGCAGGTGCGTGCATGGGTATACTAACAGCAAGCGGTGCGGTCCTAGCCCAGTAAGTAGTAGGAAGTGACACGGTAAAAAATCAAAACCAGGTGCAGTAGCTGGCCGCTGAAAGGGCCTCTCGAGATGCCGGTGGAGCGCTTAGGTGTGCCGTGCTGTGTATCAGCTACTACACCAGGTCGTTCAGCGAAATATATAGCTAGATCTTATGCGTGCTCCCTGTGACCCTGCCCGCAAATTGACCGCACAAGTTGGCGCTGTGCATTATGCCTGCTAGATGATGATCATGATGAATGGAGTGGTGCGTGCTACATTTACACCTTTGCAGGCCTGCCACTATCGCATGTTCAAGGCTTTGATCAACATCTTCGATTGGGTCCGCGACAACATCCCACTGCTGCTGCAAGAGGTGCCAGGACAGCCACAGGCCACAGCCGCCTGGCCCGACCTAACTGCTCTCTCTGAAGCTGACTTCACTGCAGCAGTTAGCGATGCACTGCTGCTGAGGGGTAGCGGGGGCGACCAGCTGGCCGACGCCGCCGCGACCATATCAGGGCCCTGCAGCCTGAGTATAACCGAATTTGCTGCGTTGGTGCCAAACATATCCTCAGTCTTGATGCAGCTCCATGCTGACCTTGCTCAACTACAGCGTGTAGGTGCTGTCTTGGGTATGCCGCCGGCACAATCTGCAGTGGGAATCCAACCTGCTGCAGCTACAGCAGCAACGGATGATAACCTCGCCAGCACTTTTGGCGACAGCATCCAACAACGTCGTGCCATCCTTGATGAGGACGTGGATGCTGCTGGAATAACACATCAGCGAGTGAAAGTGCACCTGCGGCGAGGCACCACTTTCCGTGCCCTAACCCACTCTGGTTCTTATTCTGGTGTCGCATTCCGTGGCCGGCTGGGAAGCCATACATCAGGCCCTGATGATCCCAAGGGAAACGATGACAGCGGTATTGAAAGTATTGCAAAAGCCTACCGTCGCCGTCAGCTAACAAGTACTGCCGTGCCGTCTACATTCATTTACTCAATGCCGCCAGGCAACTTCAGCATCAAACCGCCCTCAGCCAACCCAAGATTACTTATTCCGATAGTGTTCCATATAATGCAGTACGTTGATGCTGGTGGCAGGGGTATTGGTCCAGCCAATTACGAGCTTTCCCCTACTTATGCAGCGCGCATTGTCCAGGTTGCAAACTACATGGGCAAGCCAGCTGAGATCTCCTTCTTTATCAAGGTCTGACATTTTGCTATCCCTGCCTGTTTGCGTGAATGTCCCTGACATATAGAAGCACCTATCCTGATCGTAATACAGATACATAAGTCAAAGTGGGCACCGGAGGTGCTACACAGGGGTGTAAACACATGGATGCTACATACATAATACAAAATCTTCATATAATATTTGATATAAAATATATCTTTATACAGTTTCTAATTGGCACCACCCCAGCAGGCCAAACAACTAATAACCACACGCATATGTCCAGTGCGTTATCGTTATCTTGTAACTGTATTGCCTGTCTTTGGTTTGTTTACGCAGGAGGTACGGTGCAACTCAACTGCATATCCATACCTACTGCTTCGGAACCGAAATGACTGGCTTTCTATGCCTGATTGCAAAAGCCAGAGGGCCTGCTTATTATCATCCGCTTTCACCACAAGGTATGAGGCAACTAGTAGCCTAACGAGAGGAAACGTCCGCGAAATATGTGAATTCTCTACTGCTTGCGCTCTTCTAAGTATAGTAGATAGGGACCGTCCTTACTAAGGTATATAGTAAATGAATAAACCAGGGCACGACCTGCAGCCGTCAGTAAAAAATATCGATCACCCATAGGCGACGCCCTCGTATATTAGGTAAGAGGGCGTCGCCTATAGGTGAGGGAAGTTTTTACTGACGGCAGATGATAACAAAACAGAAGGAAGTAGCACATCTCTACTTATATGATTAAAATTCACAGACGTCTAAACCATTCTATGCTTGCGCAATTTACATTGGCGCATGTCATTAAGGTTTGATGTTACTATGAATATCCGGCCGCTACGATCTCGAAGTGCTAGATATCCGCTTAAGACTGTGTGATGTGTGGGACAGGGTGTCATATCTTCACCCGTGGCCACGACCCGGCAAAACCCTGCCTTCCCCGGTATTTCGGGGCACCCTCATCCAGTCACCCTAGCCGACTTCTCAATGGATCGGTCAGGTTCAGCACCCACCACCGGCATCCAGCGCTTTAGCCTGTATGTATATGTGTAACTACGTGTAACGGCCAATGACTGCTAGGTTCCAGAGAGACACCGTCTCTTCAAAGGGTTATGAGCCCTGGCTTCCTGCCTCCCGCGCTCTGACAAGCATAGCTCCCACAGCATCAGCACTGATGCAACAAGCACAGCTCCCACCACATTGACACTACCCTAGCTACCGGCCTGTACGGATGCACGGGGCCCCCGCCCTTTTTCCGGCTTCGAGAAAGCCGACACCCGACTTGTCCTTCATGTTGCTGGATACAGGGCCTTTTCTGACTTTCCGCGCTCAGTCAACATCTTTGTGCTATCAGATACGACGGCATCTGGAGTTTCTTATGTCGGTCTATCTGCAGGCTTGCCAGGGTAAGGCCAGTTTTCTCAGGGTTGCCGATGTTTAATAATATCTCCATGTCAATAGGCAAGGAAGCCCACGTGATTAGCACCCAGGATAAGCATACCAGGAATACGTGACTGCCTGTAGTAGCTGGCCGCTGAAAAGGCCTCTCATGATGCTGGTGAAGCGCCTTAGCGCGTACTTACAGATGATATGTGTGCCATACGTAGTATAGACAGCTACTGCATTCCTCCGCCTTTGAAGGGTTTGAAGGGAACCCTCTCGGTTCCTTGGTTCTCAAATAAATGATCGTCATGGTAGACCTGGTCGTCCGACACGATAGTAGCTTGATATGTGGGACAGGGGAGTCATATCTTCACCCTTAGTCGCTACCAGGCGAAACCCTGCCTTCCCCCGGTATTTCGGGGTACCCTCGTCCAGTCACCCTAGTCGACTTCTAAGTGTATCACTCAGATTCCGCACCCACCACATGCATCCAACGGAATCTGCCGGATTAACGGCGGCTCAACTCCATTCCTGAGGTGTACTTTATCCCAGGTATCCACCGTCCATCGATTAAGGCACCTATATCGTCCACCATATAGTCACAAGTTACAAGTGCCGCACGAGTGGGGGGGGATCCGTCAAAGCCGGGAGGCCATGGACTTTATATATTGAAAGTGGGTGATCAGTCTACCTCACGACATATCGCAGCTCACGTCCTCCTAGCCGTCATTACGTTTTTCAGGCGCAGGGTTTTGCTTCCCAGTCAATTACACCTACAACTTTGTCACATTATACGAGCAAATAAATGATCGTCATGGTAGACCTGGTCGTCCGACACGATATCTATGAAGTAGTTTGATGTGTGGGACAGGGGGGTCATCGTTGATTATACCGTACAACCGACGGCGGTTTGGGTCCTGCCAACTAGACCCCTCCTCATCCAGTCACTCGACATCCGTAGAGACAGATCAGCCATCACCACCATCTCAGCATGCGAAACTCAGGCCATCAACTAGACCTCATCTCTACACCTCAGCATCGTTGGTACATTTAGACTTCCTGAACAATATCGGGGGTCTAAATGAATCGAACCCGAAACCTTCATACTCACAATGGGGCCACCAGACTAGACCGTACTATAGACAGCTATTAAATTTCCCCCCTTTTGAAAAGAACTGTCGGGGCCGTTTACGCTGCGGCTACGTCAGCCTGTACCCGTAGTCGCTACCAGGCGAAACCTGCCTTCCCCCGGTATTTCGGGGTACCCTCGTCCAGCCACTCTAGTCGATTTCTAATTGTATCTCTCAAATACAGCACCCATTACCGCATCCAACGGAATCTGCTGGATTAACGGCGGCTCAACTCCACTCCTGGTCAGCTCGCAGGTCTCCACCGTTTTTTGATTTAGGGCACTCATACCTTCCACCATTGAAGTGATATTCAACCTTGACAGATCTCGATCCTGGAACCTCCAGGTGCATCGGAGTTACTGAATTGACTGAACATGTTTACATGTTATCTAAACATGGTTATGGCAAAAGCTGCACCCTATTCATTATAGTCGCATTTCTGTCTACGATCTGTCATGTATATACGATTAGTGGGATGGTGCTATAATTATAGTCGCATTTCTGTCTACGATCTGTCATGTATATACGATTAGTGGGATGGTGCTATAAGGTGATAAATGATCGTAGAACTGACAATGTGATAAAGCGGCCCAGAAGCCTCCCACTCTGTAACATTACATTACATATACGATTAATCATATGACCCATGTATGTGCATGGGTCATATATACCTACCTAGCTACCTATCTCGCTGTTACGCTCATACCCCAGTCCATGCATCTGACACACTTACATACAGGTCGGACATAGATCCACAAATGGGCTTTGTCTTCATATCCTGGGACGAGTTCTTGCGGGGAACTCCCGCAACTTACTACAGTGGCTCTCAGACCCTCCTGCACGAGGTCCTCCATTTCCTCGGACTATATCATACCTTTCAGAAACCAATGACATACAATGCACCAAAATGCACGGACGGCGACTATGTGGACGACACCCCTACTGTTAGCAGTAAGTCTATCATGAATTAACTTGCTTTCTGTGGGGCTTCCGAAGTTAAATGTACATACTGCCGTGCTGCATGCATAGAAGCGAGTGTGTGGCTAGTTCTGCGCGTGTAGCTAGGATGCATGTGCATTTAGATACACCGCCACACATGTCACGCCGTTTGCCCTGTACAGCAGTTCTGAACTATAGCCTTAATTGGCGTATGGCTCGGCTGCTGTTGCTGGCTCCGAAAACCGGGAAGCGAGGGGCAAACGGTGTGACTCAGGCTGGGATTGGGCTTTACACTGCAAGGGAGCGCGCCCACTCTTAGGGAACAAGAACAAGGGCAGCGACCGCGGAAGATAGCGCACGAAGGCGCGGTCAAGCGCCTGAGGCGCAGCCAAGTGCCTGAGGTGCAGTCTGCCGCGACCCACAGGCTGGCCGCATAGCAAACCACACACGGCACGAACAAAGCTAACGCCGCCTTGTTACGGCGCTTCAGACACTTCACATATGGGAAAACAGGGGTGTGCCAGCAGCGCTCGAACCGACTTCGCAGCGGCTGTTACCGCTTGGGTAGACGCCTAAAACACACGGCTGGGAGGGCTAGCAGTAGGCGTGACGCTGTAATAGGAGAACGGGAGCACCGCACGGTGAAAGAGGGACGTGTCGGTCGGCCGCTGCTTGCCTTGTGGCGTGCTGTCCATACGGACTGCTGCAAACCGGGCCAAGCGGGACTAGCCGGGCAGGTGGGAGAAAGTCAAACAGTGCTCCTGATGGTGTAGGCAGAGTGCTATAGCTATAGGTAGTTGTACGATGTCGGGTGATCGGCGTCACCAGGACCAACTAACTGACAAGCCGACAGGCTACCGTTCAGAACCAAGCTGGTTACCAAGCTGGGTTGAAAATAGAGCTATCCTAGATTTATGGCCATGCATGTGGGTGGAAAAGGTTTTTCATTGGCCCACAAGAGCCTGGCTATCTTGACTGATTCTTTCAGAAGGTGCGTCAGTAAAATGTTTGCTCAGCTATAGATGCCCTTGTGCAATTAACGTTTACAAACGTAGATCCAGCTATGCAATATGTATACAAATACTGGTAGTATTCCGCAGGTGGATGCAGAAGTGTGGCTGCTGCTGAAGGGATCCCTCCAACGCGTCCGTATCCGGATACAGACGTGTTAAGTAAAAAAAACCTGTCATCAAGTATTTATTGGTGATAAGCACCCTCCAATATGTATATAAGAACAGAAATCATGGGCCAAACTATTGGGGCGGCTTTTCAAAGCCGAAAAGGTGCTCGGCCCCGGTGCAACCACTTGACCCCCATTTTGATTCACAGGGCAGTCCGTACAGCATAGGAGTGCAAGCACAAGAACGCCGCAACGTTTGGAGTAAACAGTTGTTATTGAAATTTTCAAACATTTAAGGTCGGCAGACTTGCTACGGCGGTGTTGACCTGTCTGGATCGTTCTAGGGTTTTTAGCCTTTTTTAGCCACGGCATAATCAAAACGTGTGTTGCCGCTGCTGCGCCAAATCCATGAGGCGGAACTGCCCGATACGTAGGTGGTAGTACCGTTGCAAGCATGTTCGGTGTCGGCCCTTCGGTCTGCTGGTTGGCAGTTCAGGGCACCCCAAAGTGCCAGTGCTTCATGGACCAATTGTTGTTAGCTCCCAGCCAGAACGCATTCGGGGATCGTTCCATTTTGCACATTTTGAAGTCCGAATGCAGCGGCAAAGCTGATTGTGTGTCGCAAAGGCACACTTCGTTTGAACTTGGATTGAATGAATGAAGAAGAGAATAAGAAGGACAACAATCAAACAGGCACGCCCGAGACGCCAGGAGGGAGGTGCTTAGAACGTTGCCATGGGTCGGTCTAAAGTTGCCGAGCATGAAGGAACCAACCCATAAAGGATCATGCCGTTTGCTTATGAACCTAAATGTAAGGGACATGCAACGACGTCATAGGCAAGGGCTGCGGCGGGAGGGGAAGTCAAACTCGAAGCTATGGAAAGCTACCTTCGTGTTCCGATCAGGGGTCGGCAAACGCCGCTGGTACAGCGGGTCCTTCCGTTGTACCCGTTGCGTTCTTCATCGCTGGTACGGCAGCCGTACGGCAGGGTGCAGAAATTCCCCCCAAAGGCAGGTTTGCGCAGTAATTGGGCGCAACAAGACAACTGTGGCTTTAATAGCGTTGGTGTAACGTAGTAAGTTTGGTACATCGGCCCGCAGACACTCTTTGGGGGTGTTTCCACTTGGATTAAAGTCGCGGATTAAGGCTTAATCCGTCGCATATGGAGACATCGCGCGGATTAGGACGGATTAGGCGGATTAAGGTTGGCGCGATTAGTTAGAGATTTCCGCCCGTATTCACGCGCTTCGAGGATTAATTAAAGATTAACATGCTATGAAATGCGAGCATTCTTCCTATACTAAAAGCTCAAACTTGGTGAGATAAATTTGCTACCTGGTGGGCACCAGGTATCAAATTGACAATCTCGGATTAACACTTTTTACGACGCCTCGTAAAATGCCTGATTGATATGTTGGAAGGTTATCCTTTTTAGAGGCTGTAGGTGTTCCTAGTTCTGTGGAAGCTTTGTGCTTTTTGTTCGGCATTATGCACCGTGCGTGCTTATGCACCACACCGTGGGTGTCGTTCAAAGGTGCTGCAATGCCTTCATGTTGATACTCGATAGTCTTTTAAATGTCTGGCAAGACTCGTTTTTGCATTTTATGCACGGAATGGCAAATGTCGTACTTCAATCCGTTTCTTAATCCAGACGTATGAAACACTCCGACGGATTAGCGGTGGATTGGCGCGGATTAAAAATACCTTAATCCGCGCCTTTTAATCCAAGTGGAAACACCCCCTTTCCTCGGCTTTTACCAAAAAAAATTTCCATACAGTTATTCGACCCTGGCACCAGTACCCGTGACAGTTATTCAGGGTTTGCCGACCTCTGGTTCCGATGTATCTGAATGTTTTCTTTTTGCCAATTGATAAAGAATGGATGTAGCTTTTACATACAATCTTTAGCGGAGTGAGATATGTAAACTGATCTCACCCTGGAAAGCTATCTTCGCCCACAGATATATCTGAATTCATTTCCTTAGTCTTACAATAGAGAATTAGAATAGCTTCCAGACGCAATTTAACGCGGGGCAAGATATGAAAGTTTATATGTTAGGAAGTGTTGTATCTTACTAAACCACAACTGGATGGTGGCGTCGGAAGACACCGATTTGGAAGAGTTTCACCCGCTTAAATAGCGGAGGATGCGGCCATCCCATGAATCGTACAGCCAATTCCGAAAAGGCGCGGTCCAGTCCGGAATGGCGTACCGTTGATCCATGCTTCCAATCGATGACGGGGCTCCGCGAGCCAGGGACCAGCGTCCCAGTCGTAGCCTGTGCTACGACCCCCGCCCATACTTCTGCAAGTATGGACTTCCGCCTGAGGCGGCGTTTACTTGTTGGCATCCATGACAGCTTCCCGCTCGCCGTCTGACCCAGAGGTCGGAGCCATAAAGATCTGACAGAAAAGCGGCAAAATAGGCAGTTGGAATTCAGTTAGTTCCAGCGAACTTGTCCAGTAACCGCGCCAAGCGAGAAAGGAAAAATTAGACAGAAAAATGTATCAGTTTGGGCCCAGATTTAAGAAGCGGAATACAACAACTATCCCCCCTCTAGATGCAGCGTCCTCGATGCATGGCAAGAAACTGGCAGAGCAGAACCGGGCCAAAACGCGCGGGAGTTAAAACACTTACCTTTAACCCGCAAATCTTACCTTGCCCGTGCTCGTTGCCGTGCTTCTTCCAGCAGAGGTTTTAGGTCACGGGTAAAGTTAGCTTCTGGTTCCCAACTGTTGTGCTCAGCCGAGTACCCAGCCCATTTGACAAGATACTCATGCACAGTGCGCTTACGGCGGCGGTTTCTGCCTACTTTTCGGGAACGGTATCCAGTATCCGTTCAACCGCGTAAAATGTCTGCTTGCCTGAAAGCCAAGTAACTGGTCCTGGCTCCGTGACAGTAGGAGCAGGTTTTGGCTGAAGCGCAGCAGCAGAGTCAGTAGTACGGAAAGGTCGGACTAGAGAGACATGGAATGTGGGGTGGATGCGCATGTCAGGTGGTAGTTGCAGCTCGACTGCAGTAGACCCAACCATGCGAACGACAGGAAATGGTCCCACCCAACGAGGTAAAAGCTTACGAGAACCATCCGCTAGAGACCTCAGGTTCTTAGTGCTCAGCATCACCAACTGGCCCTGCGAGAAGGTGATGACGCGTCGGGATTTGTTAAAGTAGTCCGCCGTACGTTGCTGTGCAGCTTCAAGGCAAGATTTAGCGTCAGTCAGTCGGGACACAAAGGACTTGGCAAACGTCTTTGCTGCAGGCAAGTTGATGTCCAACTCCCGCCAAACAGGCAAGGCAGGGTTGTATCCGTAATTCAGGAAAAACGGACTTTTGCCAGTCGTGCGATTCACAGCATTATTAATCGCGAATTCAGCAGCAGTTAGATATGTGTCCCAGACAGGAGGTGTAAGTCCGGCATAATTGTGCAACATATCACCAAGACTGCGATTCGTACGTTCTGTCTGTCCATCAGTCTGTGGGTGATAGGCGGTGCTCAGGTTAACATGCATGCCTAACAGATCACCCAGGGTGCCCCAAAATCTGCTGGCAAATTGTGATCCGCGGTCGGTCACAACGTTCTTGGGGACACCATGCAAACGCACTATGTTGTCAAAGAACAGACGTGCAGTTTGCTCAGCTGTGCAGGATGATACCGTTAGGGATGCGAATTTACGTTTTACATTTTTACGTTTTAAGGAATTAAGGTTACGTAATTACGAAATTAAGATTGGACCTGGCCGTAATTTACAGAATTAAGGGCTCGCCGTAATAAGGTCCCTCAGGAGGGGTAGAAACCTTAAAAGCTTAACAGACCCATGGGTCTTACAGGTTCCGCCGGTCTGCAAACCAGGGTGCCGCTGACCCGTCCACTCCTCCGAACACACCACAAACCCAGCCATGGGGGAAGCGTGAAAGAGTCCAACAATGCAGGTTGAAACCGGCGATTCCCTCCGCCCAACCAAGCAAAAGAGCAAGTCAAGTAGTCAACACGACAAGTAGTCCTGGTTTGCAACGGTATTAGGTGTCGTGGTCGAGTATGTATGCACGGCTTTCAATGCTTAACGAAATCCCCATGGGCCCAACCATGAGCCCATAATGCTGAGCCAACAAGCAAAAACAGCCGGTACTGAGGAAGGGAAGCTGCCAGGACTGAAATCGTTTACTGCTCAATGGTTCAAATTGGAAAGGCGATAGTC